CCCGGGCCTGTACCCTGATCGGGAATGGAACCCTGACCTCCTGGTTCATGGGTTGATGCTCAAACACTGAGCCACGCCGGCCGGGCCAGAGAGCCTTTTGACTTTTCTCCCTCACTGTTCTTCCCCGTTATTTCTCTGTTGACATCAAGATCTTTCTCCTTTGACGGCTGCCCTGGCCGCCACGCCTCCGCTCTGGAGTCGGTCCCGAGCACAGTGCCAATATTGGGGAAGCAGTGCTTTGGAAGGTGCCTGCGATGTCAGAAAGGATCCACGAAGTAATTCAGGGTTCCCGTTAGAGGTATCATCCACACGCTCACTGGTTTCCTCATGCTTTTTCTTGTTTCAAAATTAAGTTTATTGGGGTGACTCGCCTAACGAGGCGTACAGGTTTCCAGCCTGCATTTCTGTGCTACATCCTCTGCTCGTTGCCTTGTGCGCCCACCGCCCAGGGTCGTCGTCTTCCGTCACCATCTATTCGACCCCCGGGACCCATTTCTCAGGCCCCGAGCGCCGTGATGTATGATAGACGCGAGCCTGGAGAACAGGAAGGATGACTCACCTTCCCGGACACGTGTGACTGTTGGCGACGGGACTCATTCTTGTCCTGCTTTCACCGACGGACCCTTTAGCGCCGTCGGGTAAGCAGGCTGGTCGAATGCAGGCTGCTCTAAACGTCCAGCCGCATTTCTGATGTGCAGTCAGACCTCCCTATGGAGCTTGCGGGGGATTGTTGGCCACCGAGTGAGTACCTTAGAACAGAAGTAGCATCAGTCGCGCATTTGAAAAATGGTCGCCTTTTTCCTATTTTTTTTTTTAATTGAATACAGACATTGTTTTCCCAGTCAGGGCTTATAATGGGAGGAAATGATTAAGGAGAAAAATGTGGCTAAAAATAAGAAAATTAAACATCATGTGGTGCTTGCGTACGACCGTGAGGACGTGATGCTAAGAAGTCTGAGAAGCGCCGGCTTGGGGACCCAGGACGAGACTTTAAAATGAAAGTTTTATGTCTCAAGTCTTTGCCGAATTTCTCGCCACATAGTGGTTTTTTTTGTGTGTGTTTGTTCTTTAAACCTGTAAATGTCTGTGAGTTTATTTGAGCCAAACTGCTGAGGCCATTTTTCATCTTGTGTTCATTGCCGTCAAAGGAGGGGACGGAAGGGGGCTCACGGCCTCCCCTGTGACAGGTCAGGGAGGCGGAGAGAGCAGAGCAGGGAGACCATGGCGCCTCCTCTAGATGTTCACCCCCTGGGCTCCTGTGGCTCCTTTGCGGGCGGCGGGTCATGAATTCCTCCACGAGATCCAGCCCGCTCGCCTGGCTCTGTTCAGGAGACGTTCGCGCAGGGAAACGGGCACGGCATCCGCTCTCTCTGGCTCCACGTGACTCTGTTGGGCAGGGACATGGCCTCCTGGCACCTGCTGGGCTGCGACAACGGACGTGGTGACACGGCCAGCGCCTTGGTTTGGGGGAGGCTGATGCTGAGGCCCCGTCTGCACGTTAACCCGCGGAGGCTGCGCTCAGCGCGGCCCGTGTGCTGGTTGGGTCTGCGGCTCTCGTGGGGATGTTCACCCTCACGTGTTGGGGTTTGTATGCACAGCCAGTCTTCGGGGCTGGGCGTCAGACACCCTGACCCCTGTGGGTCCCAGTCCCATGGACACGGGGAGAAAAGGAGGAAAAGGGGACCAAAGCTCACCTCCTTCCTGCCTCGGGCGTCATGAGGACTAAGGAGCAAATCAGCCACTTTCCTAGAGTGCCTGCCACCTCGAGAGCTTATATGTTTTAAAGATTTATTTTATTTCATTTTTAAAAACCTCACTGAGGATATATGTCTTTTTAAAAAATTATTTTTAGACATGGAAGAAGGGACGGGGGTGGGCAGGGAGAGAGAGAGAGAAGGAGAGAGAGAGGGAGGGAGGGAGAGAGAAAGAAGGAGAGGGAGGTAAGAGAGAAACATTGATTGGCCGCCTCCCACATGTGCCCCTCGGGGATTGAGCCCACAGCCCCGGGATGAGTGCTGACCGGGAACCGAACCTGCAACCTTTGGGCCGAAGCTCAACCAGCTGAGCACTGGCCAGGGCTCGCTCTCTCTTTAATGGGAGGCAGAGCTAAGAAGATGTGGCCTGAGAATCCAGGACACATTTTCCCCTGGAAACGTGGCACTTGGGGTTGTAAGGACCCCGCGAGCGTGCACTCAGCAACGCCCTCATGTACTGGAGCAGCCCCCGCCTCTCCCCTCAGCGGCTGTGGGAGGCCATTGCCCTCACCTGCCCCGCAGCCTTCCTGGAATTGCGATGGCCTTGCGGGGTTTCACTTTGCACTTATGAATAATTGAGGCCCGGGATAAAAATAAAAACAAAGGCTCGCCTTCCCGCGGGAGCAAGGGTCATGCGTGCTCAGCCATGCAGATAAGAGGAGCGGCCGGGGCATTGGAGA